TCGCCTGCTGGGCTCCGGCGATCCTTCCGCCTCAGCCTTCCGAGTAGCCGGAATTACAGCTCAGCCTTCCGAGTAGCCGGAATTACAGGTGCGAGCTACCACGCCCGGCTAATTTTTTGATTTTATTGAGAGATGAGGTCTCGCCTGTCCAGGCGGGTCTCGAACCCGCGGGCTCAGGCAATCCACTCACCTCAGCCTCCCAAAGGCACAGGATTACAGGCTGAGCCACCGAGCCCGGCTTGCTTTCCATTTCTATAGTTTTTAACCTTGTAAGCGACCACTCTCAGGAACTCTTATCAAATCATTTTCATTCTGTACACTTCACAGTGAGGAAGTCCCCAGCCTGGGTGGAGAGGTCTTCATCCAGCAGGAGCTCACTCCACTGCCTGCTCTGTGACACTGCGTGACACTTTGGCATTCCTGTGTGACAGCCAAGTGTGCCCACAGAATACTTTCATGGCAGAGGAGGCCAATTTGCGCTAATCCGTGTACACAGTTTCATTCTGTCCTTCAGTAACTGCTGCTCACAGATGCAAGACCTGTAATACGGTCAGAAGAGAGACTGGGTCTTGCAGCAGTGGATGCTGATGAGGGCAGATTTGACCTACAAACTGAGCAAGTGCGCGAAGGGGTCATCTGGTTCCGAGTCTAGAGCCTGTTCACGAAAACCAGAGCTGTCTGGATGAGACATACTTCCATCACACAATGCAGCAGGCAGCAAGCAGAAGGCAGCTGTAACTCAAAGCATATCTTCTCTACTGGCTAGATTCAACCCAGGCTGATATACCACCAAGCTATGGAAGTATTTTATTTTATTATAGAGATATAGGGTACAAGTGAGAATTATCTACATAAGTAGACTGCATACAGGTGAAGTTTGGGCTTCCAACAGGACCTCTTGCCCTCTGGTGGCGGACCAGGTCCTGTTTGTGTTGTCACGTGTACCCTCCCTCCCTCCCTCCCTCCCTTCCTTCCTTCCTTCCCTCTCTCCCTCCCCAGCAGTGGCCAGTAACTGTCCATCCCTCCCTTGTGCTCGTGTGGCTATAATTCAGGTCCCACTTATGAGGGAGAACATGCGGTGTTCAGTTCTTTGTTCCTGTGATGGATTGCTTAGTATGATGGTCTCCAACAAGAAGTTATTTTACAGTGTTTAAGTCAACTTAAAACATTTGTCTATAAAGTTACTTAGGAGAAATCATAACACATATGTTGGAATTACCGTAATGTGGTTGGGTACAGCTCTGAATTTACCAAATAAACAATTTCAAAGGCTATGGTTATCCCTAATCTTCCCAGGGTAGCCACTGTGGTCCTCAGCCATGGTATCCCTGCAAACACAAAAAGTTTGGGAGGGAGGAGTTAGGAGTCTGATTCATTAACATTTTACAAAACAACAAAAGGCATTTGCTTATGTTCTGTAGCCATAAGCCTTTGCTAATTTTAAGCACAAATGATAGAGCATTTTTTTCCCCTTTTCTTTTTTTTTTTTTTTGAGTTGGGGTCTCACTCTGTTGCCCAGTCTGGAGTGCAGTGGCATGATTACGACTCACTGCAACCTCAACCTCCTGGGCTCAGGTGATTCTCCTGCCTCAGCCTCCCAAGTAGCTGAACTACAGGCATGTGCCACCATGCCCAGCTAAGTTTTTTTAAAATTTTTTTGTAGAGATGAGATCTTGCTATGTTGCCAAGGCTTATCTTGAACTCCTCGGCTCAAACAACCCTCCCACCTCAGCTTCCCAAAGTGCTGGGATTACAAGTGTGAAATACGGTGCCTGGCCAGAACCTTCCAATATTATAGCTAGATTTCAACAACAACCATCACCACCACCACCACCACCAGGAGGACAGCTAATATTTTAGTGTGCTCAATGCCTTTCTATGCAGAGTTGGATTCTAGAAGTACAATTCAAGAACTGTTTTTTGAGCAACCACTACATTGGAGCTCTGTCCAAGGCAGTGTCTTCCTGGAGAACCTGAAGACTCTGAACTTTTGTCCAGAAGGTAGTCTCCAACTGTGCCCTTGGACTACCACACTACCCCATTGATTACCCAACTCTCCTCTCTCTGTTCATACCCCATAGTCATGACACATGGAATAATAATTCCCTAACATGCCAGGAAAACTCCTCACATGGGCTGGTGATGGTTTCTAGAGAGTAGCAGGCTTTGAGGACCGGGACCTTTAGAAGGGGATATCTATTCTACTTGATAGCACTAAAACACGTGTCATTTATTGTCTTCCTTATCCCTAATCATGCTACTTCCTCCAAGAATCATCCAGAAAGAGCCAAATCCTTAGATGCTGGTTGGTACATCCATTTTAAAGTGAACTGTTTTAGGCCCTCTCTGTTTGTGAGAAGAAGCTCTCCTCTTCCCTAGTGGGAAATACCAAGTATTTACTATTAAATATTTTCTTTCTTTTGTATTTTAAGAACAGAGGTGCTAATAATTTCTTATTTTTATTTATTTTATATTTTATTATTATTATTTTTAATAGAGATGGGTCTCGCCATGTTGCCCAGGTTGGTCTCAAACTCCTGGGCTCAAGCAATCTTCCTATCTCGGTTCCCAAAGTGCTGGGGTTACAGGCATGAGCAACTGTGCCCAGACTCAAATTAACCAGTTTTACTCCAAAAAAATCAGTGCTCTAAACTCTTAAGAGTTGTGCAATTTATGTCATCTTTTCCCAGAGGATTTGGTGTGAGGACATACGCCTGCATGAACAAGACCACATCTGATCTCAAAGCACAGCTAAGGACACCCAGGTTAGCTCAGCTTTCATCTTTGAACATGAGACATTTACCTTATCACTCATACATGCTCACCCAGCACTAAATCATCCTTTCTTCTAAGAGAATTATCAAACCTTCCTGAATATATAGTTTTTCAGTAGAAAAATAGGCATGAATTAGGAGGATGAAATAAGAGAGTCAAGTTCCGAAGACACATGTGTGTTCTCTCTACAGAACAGTCAACAAACCAGAAACAGCAAAAACTCATTAAAGGAAACAACTACCCAGAGGACAAGCAGAGAAAAAAATGGTCCAAGAATCCATACCATTGTTGGGAGGCCTGAGTATACTACATTTGACAGTGAACTGGCCCAGGCCGTCCTGGTGTACTTGATGTTTTTCCCAAATGAGAACACCTGCAGCTGTCACACTGATGGTGACATCAGGGAAGAAGGAGGGTCAGAGCTGTGCTAATGCACTGGGCCACCATCTGTTCTGGCGCGGAATGAGTTGTCAACATGTATTTTACTTAGGCCTTACTTCTTACGGAGGCCAGGACCGGGCAATAGGAAATGCATTCCACCTCGTCTTTCAATGAGCAGGTGATGCTGGGAATGGGAATTGGGATCCATGGCCCAGATTCCTGGGTCTCAGCCTGATGGAGCAAGTTCCTGCTGCTCTGGGGCTGCTAAGGTGAAGGCCACCCACCACTGTGGAGATAATGTCATTATCTAGGTGAGGTGCTGGAGTCCTAAGTTTCTTTTTACTAAATCAAAGTTGCTCTCTAAGTAAGTTCCACTGATTGGTTCAATGACAACCCAAGTTTACAACTGAGGGTAGAACTGTTGGGTGGAAAGAAACAAACAAAAGCCAAGAGACCAGATTAAAACACACACTCACCCTGCACGAAAAACGTATGTGATTAACTCAGACAAATGACTAGTCAATTCAGTAAAATGTTCAGAAAATGCTGCCAAGGGATGTGGTCTCCCTCACAAGCTGACCGAGAGACTCCTCACTTTTTCCCAAGCAGCAGGGTTCAGAATCTAATGATAATAATAATAGGACATTGATTTTGTTGAACTGTGCACAAAAGAGAAGTCCCTAAGGCACTGCACTGCTCACTAACTAAAGAGTGAAAAGAAAACAACCAGTTAGGAAGTGTGAAGGATAATATATGCACACAAAAACTTTAGATCATTTCAGGAATATGCTAAATTCATTTGGGGTGGAGATGGGTATCTTTTGGTAGCAATGACAAAAAGGCAATGTAAAAATGAGTATTGAAACCGAGATAGTCTTCCACAGTTATAAGTGAATTTAGAGAAACAATGCCCCTCTCTGAATGAGGATTTGGTCAAGTTACTAGGGATTATTGGAAATAATACCTCTAATACTGAAGAACGAGTACAGGTTTTAAAATAAGCAAAATTTTGAATTTCCTCTGAATGTACTATCTGCTGAGTTCTTAAATTAATATGTAGTGAAAAGTCCTAATAGAAATGTGTAAATTAAAACACATGAACTTACTTTTCACTTAAAGAGAAATAAAAATAGAAGACAAGTTCATTTTAAAAAGACTTATCTAAACTGCAGGATGGTAGTCATCCTAAATCCACTCCAATTAAAGATGGCAGATAGGTATGGATAAAGAAAGCACTTTATTTTCCAGAATTTAATGAGAGTTCAGAGATGTGAGCTAGAAGCAGTGAGTCCTAGATGAGGATACAGCCAGAAAGACTATTCCTTTTTCCAGAATTTCACTCTTCAGACCATGAAAAGTTGGATTCAGCAGAGGGAAGGCCAGTTAAACTGTTTTCTGGGAGAGAATTTGAGGGATGATTTCTCCCAAGAGCTCATCAGCATTCAGCGCAGGGGCTGGTGACCTGCGGATGCTGTCGGGAAGGACTGAGAGGAAAAGCCTTTCTAATGCTAATTCACCAGTCCCAAGAGTCCAGTCCAAAAGCCTTTTTAACTTGGAAGGACTGCCAGCTCAAGGGAGGATCTTCTGCTAATATTTGGAAATCGCTTTAGGGATTTGAAACTTATTCTTGCCAGTCGGTCATGACCAACATATGACTATAAAAGCAGCCAAATCTGCAGAATATTGACATGAAATGTGCCTAGAATAAAAGCAATTGGTTTTTAGTCTTGCTGAGAGCAATTCTAAAGCTTCAATTGAGAAATCATACCTATAAAATAAAACAAATTAGACCAAGAAGAAAAGCCTATTCTTTGCCTTCTATTTTCTTTCTTTCCTTCTTTCCTTCCTTCCTTCCTCTTGCCCTCCCTCCCTCACTCCTTCCTTCTGTCTTTCTTTTTTTTCCCGAGTTGTAGTCTTACTCTGTCGCAGTGGCATGATCGTGGCTCACCACAGCCTCAGCCTCCTGGGCTCAAGTGATCCTCTCACCCTAGTGTGGGATTACAGGCGTGAGCCACTACACCTGGCCATTTGTCTTCTATTTTTCGGTATATAAAAATGTTCTCTACAAAACAACTTGAGTCCTACTCATGCTGCTTCAACTTTTGTTTGGACACACAGTCTGCATTGTTTTCTGGGGTCATGCTGAATGCCACCACATTAAAATCATCCCAATCAGTCTAAGGGCCAGAGAACATCCTCTAGGGTGAAGTATATGTCATGAAATGATGGGCCACGCTTAAATCCTTAATCTTTCTCTCCACATTCCTAGTTCCATCTGCCATAAGTATTTCATCCCTATTCCTCATGTGATAAGAACAGAAGCCCTCATCTTAGGGAACTGCGTTTTAAAATCAAACCCAGCAGGGTACAGTGGCTCACACCTACAATCTCTGCACTTTGGTAGGCTGAGGCAAGAGAATTGCCTGAACCCAGGAGTTGGAGTTCGAGACCAGCCTGACCAACTTGGCGATCGTCTCTAGAATAAATTAAAAAATTAGCTGGACATGGTGGTGCATGTCTGTAGTTCCAGCTACTTAGAAGGCTGAGGGTGAAGAATCACCTGAGCCCAGCAGGTCGAGGCTGCAGTGACCGTGACCATGCCATTGCACTCCAGCCTGGTGACAGAGTGAGACTCTGACTCAAATAATAATAATAAATTAAACCCAAAGTACCAACGTAAAATAGAACAGTGAAGTCACTCATGTTCTTGACATTTCACCTTTCTACTTAAATTGTGCATTTCCTGAAGGCAGAAATTGTGTTTATCTTGTTCACCTCTTTATCCTCCTCCTAATTTAGAGTTTATTAATGAATAGCTACCAGGAAGACATGTATTAATAGCTAGTTATCGCAACTCTCAGAATATGTTCACTCTGTGTAGCAAATTGAATAGCGCTGCCCAAAAGTCATGTCCACCTAGAGCCTCAGAATGGGACTATATTTGGAAATAAGGTTTTTACCGATGAAATGAGTTAATGAAACAAGGAGATAGAGAGGAGACTGTCCCGTAAATATGGGGAGGCAGAGACTAGAGTGATGACAAGGAATGCCAAGGATGGCTCACAACCACCAGAAGCTCAGAGAGAGAAATGGGCAGATCCTCCCTCGCAGCCTCTGGAAGTAACCAACCCTGGGACCCCTTAATGTCAGACTTCTAGCCTCCAGAACACTGAGAGTGTAAACTTTTGTTGGTTCAAGGCACTCAGCTTGTGGTACTTGATTACAGCAGTACCTAGGAAACTAACACACGTGAGGAAAACAGAAACAATGTAAATAAGCAGACTGTTTCTCATCAACCAGTCCAATATGTCAGAGGACTTGCACATCTTATGTGTGTGTGTTCTCAAAATTGGCATTTCTGTAATTTTATTAAAATAAGGTCTTCCTGATGTTTGGGGAATTCGTAAACCTTAAGCTCATCTGTAAATGGTTGACTGTTCTGACTTCTGCAGTCTTGTCTGTTTCTTTGCTGATCCTCAGTGGATTCTCAAAGAATGAACAACCTTTCTTGTGCAGACACAAAGGACAACCAGGGAAACCAGCTCTTAATCCCCGCTTCACACCCCTTGAACACGGAGATGATTAACATGCTCTGCTTCACACACTCCCTGGGATGTAAGGCCTTCCTCTCTCCACTCTCTGCTGTACTCTTACAGCAGCGATCACATGGGTAATGCTAACTATGTATCTGGGATCACCCACACCCTCTGCACCCCAGCCACAGTCATCAGGCTCTGAAAAACTGAACTCCGCAAGATCTCTGGAATGAAATCCCCCTCTTCTACCCATGCCTGACTGCCACCTCTTAATTCCTGCTCTCAGCATCTCTCTCTCCTTACAGCCATTGTCCGAACTGCTGCAGTTATGCTGAGCTCACGCCTCCTCCTCCCACCAAAATGTCCCAGGACCTGCCTGAGCTCCTGGCATAGCCTGGGTGGGGCCAGTCTTGCTGATGACCAACCATCTCTCAGGGCTCCTTGCCTGGATTGAAGTCAGTGCAAGGAAACTTTAGTCCGAACCCACAAAAGTGTTTCATACAAAGGAGGAACAATTCTCTACAAAGGGGGGACTCCCCAAAAAACCAGAATTATTTTTTGGAGGGTCGGCCCTTGTAGTACAGGTTTCCCCCATTAGATAAGTGTTCTAGGAACCCATTAGCCTCGGTGTACAAGCCAGCGTTGTTGTGAGAGGCTGCATTCGGCTTCAGTGAACTTTGTTGTTGTTGAAATTTTGTCAGTGCATTTGCCCATTTCATGATGGATGATTTATGAGCACACCTGCCTATGCCACACTAAGTGTTCAGCAGTTTGGGGCCCCAAATGGCATGACCTCCATGCCCTACCCTCCCTAATCACCTGATCTCACCCCAAGTGACTTTTTTTTTGGTTCCCAGGATGAAAAAGTCTTCAGAGGGAAACATTTTACCAGTGGAAGAGGTGAAACAAAAAATGGCAAAAGCACTAAAAGACATTAAAATCGACAAGTTCAAAAACTCTCTGAGCAGTGGGAAAAGGCATCTCTTTAGGTGGATTGCATCAGATGAAGAGTCCTTTGAAGGTGGCTGAAGTTTAAACATATAAGAATAAATACATGTTTTTTAATAAATATATTCTGGGTTTTTTTGGGGGGTCCCCCCTTATTTCCTAAGGACAGGCAGTTCCCTAGACTTGATTATTTTGATTTAAAATTTTTCAAGTTCTTTGTCTGCCAAACACATTTGGAGGATGATTACCTTCTGGTAAGAATGCAGTGACAAGGCATGCCACCCCAGCCACTATATTGCTTGCTGCAAAGGGGAGACGTCGTCCAACACGCTCGATGGTTAGTAAGATCAAGAGAGCTCCTGGCAGTTCCACAACTCCTGAGATGAAAAAGTCTATATAAAGGTTGCCTCCTATAATTCCCAGGCGCATGACAAGTCCTTGATATACCACAGCACTCGTAAACCTGTAGCAACATTGAAAGGCACCAGAGAAGAACAAGTAAGAAACAACTTCAACCTGATTTGAGGGAAAGGGCGCATTATAAATTTGGTACAAACTTTTAAATCCATCACGAGTCAAACTTACCAAGCAAACATAAGTATAAGTGTGCACTTCCTCATTTGGGGAGTTCTCACCAGATCTAAAAAGGATGGATTACTAACTTCCTCATCTGTAACAGTGATCTATATGAGAAAAGCAAATTTCAGTAGCAATATACAGCAAAAAACACCTGCATAGTATAGATTTGTCATTAACCAGATTCAAAGCCACAAAATCAAATAATCTTACTGAACTGACTAGGGTCTTTGGTGATTATATCTTAAAACATGAGAGTGAAAGGGCTTGTTCTCTGGTATTCTGAACAGCTCAATTTCACAAAAATAGGGCTGTTGCCTTGAGAATCATTCTTAGGATCATTGCAGTACTTTACATTAAGTTGCTCTGTGTGTCCCAGAGTAAAACACACGTTTATTAAATGGGGGGAAAATGAGAGCATGAGTAAAGTGGGTGGGAACCAACCAAGTGTTCCTTTCTGTATGAAATCCTCAAATCTTACTTTGACAAGCAGAGTAATGTCAGTCTAAGAGCTAATGCCGAAGGCATTATTTTGCCTGTGTCTTCTTACTAGAATCTAATATCTTTTTGATGCAGGAAAATTCAGCTCATCTCTACTTGACCATCCAATAAAGTTGATCTTTTCTTCAATTTTGATTTAAACATGTGTCCCTGACTTGCAGAATCTCACACTTCTGCTTGAAGGGCCCCTTATCTCCTCAGTCTGGACTTCGTCTCTTCTGGGTATCCTTCCTAACCTTAGAGAGAACTAACAGCTCCCTGATCTGCGTCTCCCCTCCTCAGACCTCTACCCTCACACCTGTACAGCTGCATTCCCTGTGGGTCTGGGGTTCTTGGGAGGCAGACGTCATGTTTTTGCATCCAGCAAAATGCCTGGTGTTCAGCAAACATTGCAATAACCGAATGCTAAAGTGAGAAGTCAAGTGCTTTGGCCATGTCTGTTCCTCAAAGTGATACCCTCAGTTTTTGTCCCCCTATTAAATGAGAACCCTGCCTCTTCAGGATGGAACCCTCTCTTCTGCTTGCTCAGCTCCAGATCTGGCCCAGATTGGATGGAAATCTAGGTAAATTCTCCCCAAGCCTTTGAACCAAGGTATCTCTACCAGTAGTCACAGGGATTTAACTTAGAGCAAATGCATACTGACAGCATCTCATCAATCACATATTCTAGACAGCAAATTCAATGGGTCATTCAAAGCTTGATATCTTGGACCTCTGTCTGCTCCAGGGAAAGTCACATACACAAAAGTAGACTGCAAAATGAATGTCTTCAGATCACATCTCCCAAACACACCCCTCCCCACCCCACATGCACAAGGGCTTCTCAATCTTGTATTTCTTCTATACCAAGACATATTTTTTTTTTCACATCTAACATCTCTCAAATTGGGATACATCTTAAACTGAACTGGTAAGAAAGCAACGCACCACAGTTTATACAGCTTTGTTTATTTTACTCAGCAGTACATAAAATGATAATGTGTGTGTCTTAAAATCAGTAATGTCTTAGAGTCAACGAAACATAGTTTCCATGACAATGCTCATGGAAGACACTAATTTCACCACCCAATCTTCCCTTCTCTTTTGATAACAGAATCCATGGAATTTTAGTGAGGCACACCAATGTCCAGTGAGGGACACTTTGTCTAGCTTCTCCTTCAACTACAGGTACCCTGTGACGAAGACCTCAGCGAAGCAGTTGCTGCAGATGTCAAGTAAGTGCTAGGTTCCATCCTTTAAAAAGGAATTCCATACAACCTATTTCGGGTGATGGGGATACAAGATAAATGGAACCCGGGCCCTAGACGCCGCAAGGAACAAAGCTGCCTCACAGACCTGGGCTGCTCACCTCTGGGTGGGCATGTTAGAGAGAAAAACTCTCTTCTCCTTTTTAAATATATTTTGGGGGTCTCTGTCTTTACTGCAAGTTGAGCTAGACCCTAACTAATACAATGTCGACTAAGTTGTTCCTTGAACTGCTCTTCTAAATTTTATGACCCCAGTGAGGAATTTTTCCTTATCTACCTTAATGGTTGCTGCTTCAAAGATAAGACAGAGATATCAGAGGTGAAAGATAAAAACTTGGTATATTACCACAATATATTATTACATGATTTGCTACCAAAATGCTTTCTACAATTAGTTTATATATATTACCACATTAAAATGACTGATCTCTGGGTGTATGTAATATTATATTTTGGGCTAAGTACTTTACATAGATTATTTTATTTAATTCTCATACAATCTCTATAAAGCTAGTATTTTTATTAATCATTTATAAACAATTAGAAACAAGACTTAAGGCACCAGGGATTAAAGAACAGGAAGGTAGCCAAGTGGTGGCTCACACCCCTAATCCTAGCACTTTGCGAGGCTGAGACAGGCGGATTGCTTGATCCTAGGAGTTCAAGATCAGTCTAGGCAACATAGGGAGACCTTGTCACCACAAAAAATCAAAAAATTAGCCAGGCATGGTGGCATGTGCCCGTAGTCCCAGCTACTTGAGAGGCTGAGGTGGGAGGATTACCTGAGTCTAGGAGCTCGAGGCTGTGGTGAGCTGTGATCATGCCACTGCACTCCAGCATGGGTGACTCCAGATTAAAATAATAATAATAATAAGTATACTTGTAGCAGTTCAGTAATAGTATTCATGAGGTAGTGGGATTATGATAGTTTTTATTTTCTTCTTTTCAGCCACAAATATTCTCTTAATTATTTTTGTGTGCCAGGTACAGTTACAAACATAACAAAAAATAGCTCACTTTTAAAGTCAAGGATTTAAGTTAGACATAGTGTACCTGATTGTATTATTTCCACTTTCTCTATCCTAACAAAACCCCCACTTGTCAGCCCATTCCACCCTCACCCACAAATTCATCAATTCATGTTCTCGGGGCAGCTAATTCTGCTTCCAGTTGTAGCGGGATGCCTGATCTAAGGGTAATTTTACCCTCTGTGCCAGTAACTGGGCATGTGACTCAATTTGATCCAATGAGAAATGGGCAGATGATCCAATTTGAGCCAATTGAAAAATGGGCAGGAAATGGGGAAGTCCTTCATGGCTCTTAAGTCAGAGGTTTCTGAGGGAATCTTTTTCCTCTCCCCTCAGGGAATAAGTGAGAAAATGGTGGGCACAGTTCTATCTTAGTGGCCATGAGAGAAAAAACCTTAAGACGAAGCTTCCCTGTCAGCAGAGTAGAGAGAGGGAAGAAAATCATAGTGTCATAAGATCGTTGAGACCCCCGTTTAGCCAGCCCTGAATGCTGCTGTAACTAGAATTCCAGACGCTTGAGCCAGTGAATGCCCCTATTGTCTGAGCCCATTTAACTTGGTTTTCTGTCACTTGTTGCCAAAAACAGAATTATCTGAAGAATCCAGATATTAATGCTTTTGCTTTAATAACTGAATATTTTAGGCAAAATATTTTGCAGTGAAGTTAAAAGAATGGCTTCAATATTCCAATTCACTCTGTAAAAATACTTGGTATCAGTATTAATTGCAAACTTCTAAGAGTTAGAACCAAGCGGTCATTTGATCTCTGCTTTGCCAGAGCACAAGTTTAATGCCTCATATATATGTTCTACCAAAAAAAAATACTAGGTGCTGATAACATATGAAAGGAATCAAGACCGTAAAACCAATCTTCCCTGTCCAGTGAGTGAAAGGATTAATAGTACTTTCAAGCAAGTACGTATTTTGTTGCATTTAAGGACAAATCCAGCTGGTCTTTGATTTACTAACATCTTCTGCACAGTGACGCAGATATTCTGAAAGACGACCCACTTTCCAGGCGTCCAAAGACCTTGAGAGACTAAAAGCCGTATCTTGGATGGACTTCATCCAGGAAACTCTTGGCAACTCCCAGGCTGTGGCGGCTGCAGATATTCTTCTTTTCAATAACTTCTAGCTCCGTAGTTGAGCTGATTTTCTGTTACCAAAGGGATACCACATTTTGCTTTATTTGAGTCAGATAAAAAAGAGCCAAAATGCTATTCCACATTTTGCAAAATCTGCTTGATTAATTTACTTGCAGCTCATTATATTTACATAGAACTTGCATACAATAAAGTTCAGCAATTTTAAGTGCACATTTTTCATGTGTTTTAACAAATGCATAGAGTCCCATGACATGGTACGGAATCTCTCCATGACCCTGAAAAGTATTCTTGTGTTTCCGTGAAGTCAGCCCCCGCCCCACACTTACCCTGAGCCCTGGCAACCCCAGATCTGCTTTTTTCTAGACTTTCATGGCCATAGAATCAGACAGTACACAACTGTCTTTTGTGTCTTGTTTGTCATTCCATTCTGTCATACTTTGAAGCCATCTAAGTGGGAAATGCTGGTTTTGATTTGGAGCAAAGGGAGGAATGGGAAAGCTCTGGGTAACATGTGTCTGGAGGCTCGTTGCCGAACGATGCTGCCCTACTCATAGGGAAAGGTATCGGGCAAGGTTAAACTGCACTTGTTGCTTTCCTTGTGTTTATTTTATGAGCTGAACTGCTATTTGCTCTGTCCATCTCTTTAAATGTCTTCTAATTTTACCAAGACTTTGTTTTCCATTGACAATGATGTACTCTATGATAAAAGAAGATTTTCTTCTTCCTTTGTTGATTAATTCAGCTCTCTTTACCATTCTTCCTGGTGGCTTTCTGAAACATTACTTCAAGTTGACATTTTAATTTAAATTGCCAAGGAAGAGAAAGACATTATAAATAACCATCTGTTTAAAATATGGTGTTCAGAGCTCCCCACACGGAGGACTGTTTCAGGTCAAAAAAAGACAGTCAGCCAGAGTCAGTCTGGAGACATGGTATTCTACTCAGAATATTTTTTTACTGGCAGGTTATTTTAAGTTTTCTCATCAGTAGCATGAGGATAGTAATACTCACTTTGCTAGAGTATGTTGAAGATTCAGCTAGATAACCCATATATGTATACATAGGAGAGGGATCCCCAAAAAACAGAATTATCCAGTTTGGTAACACAGGCTTCCCCCACTAGGTAAGGGTTCTAGGAACTCACTGGCATCAGTGTAAGAGCTAGTGTTGCTGTGAGAGGCTGTGTTCGGCTTCAGTAATTTTTTTTTTTTTTTTTTTTTTTTTGA